CTGAAGATTAATATACGAGTTAAGAATGGTTTTATATGCAAGAAAATCAGTTTTAAAAACTATCATATTTAGGGAACCAGCTTTCACTGGATTTTTTCTTTACACAAGTCGGTCAAGCAAATCGGTCCAGGGGTTCATCGGCAGGACATCAAAACAGACAAACAGAGATTTCAGGAGTTGATTAAGACCTATAAGAGTTCTACCTGATGTTCCTGTCTCAAGAAATTGATATAAAACTGTGTGAAAATTAAACCAAAACTTTTATATGTAAGATTTGGTGTAAGATTCTAAATTTTAAACAGATCATATTCAGCAAATACGCAACCAATCCGAAAACTACGATATCCCAGAGGAGCCTGAAAAACTCAGGTGTGCTTCTGTTATCATTTGAATTTAATAATTCGTAATGGATATAATGTATACTATCATTTATATGTCGATCCGTATCACGTGACCAGAATTCCAACCAATTGCAGTGCAGTGATACAGACGGAGATAAAAAAAATCAAAATTTGATTTCCTGACAAGTGCACTTTGACTAACTGATTTGTGAAGTACTAAACCCCTTTCTTTCTTTCTTTCAAATCAATCATTAACTGTTGTATTTACTAACTCGTTGATTTATTCCGTAGTCTAAACATTCTGATAAATTTTTCTCACACAAAGAACACAATTTTTAGATTCAAATCAATATTATTGAAAAAGGACAAAACGCGAATCTCAAATCAGATTTTTATTGGAGATCCCCAAATTTTCATTGGAGACCCCAGATTTTTATTGAAGATTCTCAGATTTTCATTGGAGACCCCCAGATTTTCATTGCAAACCCCCATATTTCCATTGGTGACCCCCAGATTTGCATTGGAAACTCCAGATTTTCATTGGAGACCCGAGATTTTCATTGGAAAACCCAGATTTTCATTGGAGACCCCAGATTTTCATTGGAGACACCAGATTTTTATTGGAGACCCCCAGATTTTCATCGGAGACCCGCAGATCTTCATTGGACACCCCAGATTTTCATTGGAGACCCCAGATTTTCATTGGAGACCCTCAGATCTTCATTGGACATTCCAGATTTTCATTGGAGACCCCAGATTTTTATTGGAGACCCACAGATCTTCATTGGATACCCCAGATTTTCATTGGAGACCCTCAGATCTTCATTGGACACCCCAGATTTTCATTGGAGACCCCAGATTTTCATTGGAGACACCATATTTGGTTGGGTCTCCCACAAAACGAAGATAAAAGATACGTGCGCAGTATAGTTAGTATTATATCACATCAAACTAAAGTATATTAAAATCTTAATGTTTTTGAATCATATATTCAATCTCGTATTGATTACGTAATGAGAAGAATATAAATGTTCTGAATTGGTAGGAGCTACAATGTCCAAAGTAGTATACTAGTAAATAGTGATGTCACATTAAGGAACTGAGTTTTTACAACTCAAAAGTTCTAATCCCTTTATCTTTATAAACTTATCTAAGTTTGAAGTATGAAAGGTCTACGGTATTGGGCCGGTTGCAAAGATATAGGGAATAGAAAATCACAGTTTGTGGCAAAGACTCAATTCTTTTACATTCTCCTTCTCTGTCTACAGGAGTTAATATAAGTTAAAGGAAAGAGGCGACTAGAGAAACTTATCTGTTGCAATACTAAAATAAATGTAAGAATAATTTTAAATGATCCCAACTTAAAAAGTTGTATGCCCGAATCACAACGGTACCTTAATCTGAGGATTAACAATCAAGGAAGATAGCGTAGTGTTTTCTATCTTTAAACTTTAAACTTGTTTCTTCCTGTTTTAAAAAATCCACAATTAAAATAATCAATTTTTAGAGAAAAAACACGAAAATGCTGCTTTTTTGGGTAAGTCAAAGAACACTTAATAATAATAATTAAAATTAGCTTGAAATTAAAAATTACATTTCCATGTATAAGGAAGTTAAAAAAAATAATAAAATATATTTTACTGTTAGATGATGATGAAAATTAAATGATTAAAAAAATAGAAACGTGACACAGAGCATGAATGAGAGTTCTTTAAAATTGCAAGATGTAAAAAAAAATGTCAAATGTAATCAACTTAACGTATTGGCTTTTTATCTGAAAACTCATTTGTTGAATATATATATGTTAAAATGAAAATTTCCATTTAATGCAAAAGAGATCCGTTTTGATCTTACTCTGAAATCTATTTTCTAATTTTCTATGTCAACATTTTGCTTGACTTTTAACCCTAATATTTTCCCCCTAAATTCCACCTTCAAGATTTGAAGGTTAAAAGCGCATATAAATGTTAAAACTTCTAAAGTTCAGGTTAGGTTACAATATGCAGTGTTGCAAACATATTTCTTGAATGACAAGTGTTCTTTTCTTCTCCATGCTATCTTTATCCATCACAAATAAATTACTTTAAATGTTGTTAACTCAATGATCTGTTTTAGGTTCTAATGTTTATTTATAAATAAAGTAAATAATGATTAAAAAGATTAAGAATGTTGAAATTGTTAACTTAAATATAAGTTTAGGTAGATTTTTAAAATATTTTCACTAGAAATATACATAGATAAAGATAGATTGCGCATAAGACGACATTTTTCATCTTGAAAGATATAAATGTACAGAGATGTTATAAAGATATTCCTGTTATATGGATTAACTAGGTCGGTTGTGAACATTGGCTGTTCTTATGTCATTGAGTACTTGTGGTGTACATGAGTTCTGTAGAGAGAAATTTAAGTTAGTATAGACCTTCTCAAGTCCTTCTTCAGTTCTCGTCAATATGATATATTGCTTAGTGAAATATTGTTGTTCCAATAGTTCCATTCCCGGAGTTATTTTACACTCTATTATGAAATCCATTAAAACACCAAACCACCCCGCTTATCATCGAAGTACACTTTGACCCCTAGAAGTATGAGTTCGCGGACTGTACAATTCTTGGTGATTTTGCGTACATAAGCTATCTATGTTAATTTATTTATCTATGGAAATATATCGACCGTTTTTATATCAATGTTGTCCATCGCATTGCAACAATATTATACACAATATGACTAGCACACGGGCAGCCGGAGTACATTTGGATTTCCGAGCCGGGTCAACCTTTCGGTCCCAATATGTACTGTACCTAGCTCAATGAACAGGACTAGCCGGTGCAACAAGGTTGCGCAGGTCAGACTTGATGCTTCATATAGGCTGAATTTACTTTTACTAAAGAATCAGAGGTGCGTGAGCATTCAAATTCTATCCTGTTTTGCATATATCTATCTGTTTGATTTTTATAATGCGATATTTGCCCAAAAATTAAGACAGGGTATCGTTATAATAAAAGTGTTTTTCAAAATTATAAACATTGATATCTAATTTATATTTGAACAGACACAAAGCTTTTAAGGGTATCGTTCTGAATCGGGCGCTGCCATTTTTACCCTTTAACCCTTGAATTTTATATTCTGTCATAATATTCCTAACATGTTTATGATTTTTTGTATGCTTTTTAAACCATGCCCATAAAATGTTGAGTTCTGTCTGATTCGTTTAGTAACTCAAGGACATTTCTTTTATTCCTCTTTATGTACCTAATACTCTATCAACTTAACTATCTATATGGATCTTTCTACATTTCTATCTTTCATTTCTTACATTTCTTTAATTCCTCTTTATCTACCTAATACTCTATCTATTTAACTATCTATATCTTTCTACATTCTACACTAGATAATAAATCTATCCATCTATCTTTCATCTATATATAAATTTGGCTTGTTTGTCTGTCTGTTTGTTTGTCTGTTTGTTTGTTTGTATCCAATAAACGTCAAAACGGCTGAACCGATCGGGCCCANTGTCTCTATCAACTTAACTATCTATATTTATCTTTCTACATGCTTCACTAAATACTAAATCATTTCTTACATTTCTTTTATTCCTCTACCTAATACTCTATCTATTTAACGATCTATCTGTGTATCTATCTACCTACATTCTACACTAAATACTAAATCTATTTATCTATCTATCTATCCATACATATAAATCTGTATTCTTCAAAAGTAAAACACAGAATATTTTACTGTGTTATGTATAGAAATGAACTAAATAAAAATATTTTGAATTTTTAAAAAATTGTTTTAACAAATTTTCTTGAAAAGGTCACCTAAAAGTTTAGAGAAAAAATATATATAGAAATAAGATAATTGACTAATTATTATTACAATTTAAGTTAGTATAGACCTTCTCAAGTCCTTCTTCAGTTCTCGTCAATATGATATATTGCTTAGTGAAATATTGTTGTTCCAATAGTTCCATTCCCGGAGTTATTTTACACTCTATTATGAAATCCATTAAAACACCAAACCACCCCGCTTATCATAAAAATCGCACAATCTTATGCAAATTCGATAAATATATCCAACCGTCTTGTGTTATCATTTGGGAAAATATGTTTTTGATGTAAATACCAATTTTACTTTTAAATGTAAAACTCCGTACAGTTGCATAACTATATATTTTTCTATCTTACACCATAGCCATCACACGGACAGCCGTAGTACGTTTGAATTTCCGAGCCGGGTCAACCTTTTCGGTCCCAATTTGTACTGTATCGCCCGGAAACTGGTTAAGTAAAGCAGACACTCAATAGGACTAGCTGGTGCAACAAGGGTGACGTGGTCAGACTTTAGGTTGAATTTACTTTAACTGAAGGGTCAGAGGTGCGTGATCAATAGATGCGAGGAATGTTTATTATAAATACAATTATAAAATGCTTAGAACAAAATTTCTAATTGCTATGTCACAATTATAAAAAATATGCATTATACATTAAGAAAATTATTTTAACTTCAATAAAAATAAGAACATAATTTGTTTAAATCATGTTATTTTTTGAAAAAGTTCAAATATGGCTGAACAGGTGCAGTGTGCTGTATAATCCTTTTCAAAGTTTTTGTTAAAAACTGTAAAAATAGGGATTATCAGTTTGAGAAGTCAGGTTCGTGTGTACGCTGCAACGATTTTCAGGTTTTTTTTGTGGACCTTGCCCTGTAATAATAAAGGGATTACAGGTTTTTGTCACTTCAACGTATTAATATATAAATTCAGAGGACATATTTCCGCCTAATAAGTTTATCAAGTGTACGTATTCAAAAATGTAAGTTTTTGCACAATTTATCGCTGTAACAAAAACAGGATCATTTTATACATCATTTACGCAAATTAAGCAAATATATACATATATAATGATTAAATGTAAGGCTGAAAAGAAAAAACTTCAGTTACTGTAATGTTTAAAATATTAAACTAGTTGTCATTTTTAGTATAAATTCGGTGCGCTTCTTACTCAGATATAGTCAGGATGAATACACAAGTGATGAATTAGTTAGGATGAATACACAGTAGTTGAATAGTCAGGATGAATATACAATAGATAAATAATCAGAATAAATAAACAGTAGATCCCGTCAGGACATTATTAAGATGAATACACAGTAGCTGAATAGTAGATGAATTAGTTATGGTGAATACACAGTATAGATGAATTAGTCAAGTTGAATCCACAGTACAGATGAATAGTCAGGATGAATACACAGTATAGATGAATAGTCAGGATGAATACACAGTAGCTGAATAGTAGATGAATTAGTTATGGTGAATACACAGTAGATGAATTAGTTAGGATGAATACACAGTATATGAATAGTCAGTATGAATAAACAGTAGATGAATAGTCAGGATGAATACACGTTATATGAATTAGTCAGAATGAATACACAGTAGATGAATAACAAGGATGAATACACAGTAGATGAATAACAAGGATGAATACACGGTAGATGAATAGTCAGGATGAATACACAGTATAGATAAATAGTCAGGATGAATACACATGAGATGAATTAGTCAAGTTGAATACACAGTAGCTGAATTAGTAAAATTGAATTCACATGAGATGAATTAGTCAGGATGAATAAACAGTATAGATGAATAGTCAGGATAAATACACAGTAGATGAATAGTCAGGATGTATACACATAGGATGAATTAGTCTAGTTTAAAACAAAGTAAGATGAATTAGTCACGATGAATACACAGTAGATGAATTATAGTCAGGATGAATACACAGTATATGAATAGTCAGGATGAATACACATAGGATGAATTAGTCAAGTTTAAAACAAAGTAAGATAAATTAGTCAGGATGAATACAGAGTAGATGAATAGTCAGGATAAATTCACGTTATAGATGAATAGTCAGGATGAATACACAGTAGATGAATAGTACATGAAATGAATTAGTCAAGTTGAATACACAGTATAGATGAATTATTCAGGATGAATGCACAGTATAGATGAATAGTCAGGATGAATACACAGACAATATGATTAGTCCGAATGAAAACTAGGATACAGTGTAAGGTATTATTGATCTCTTGATGCTATCTCTAGGTAGAAATCTAAAAATAAAATCTAACTAGCTCAACTTTATTCTCCAACATATGTTGCAATAAATGCGAAAACAAGGGTGATGTGAGATACAGGACAGGGTTGTGTCATTTCGATATAAATTTTTGTACAAAAATGTAAAACATATTATAAACTTATTGTTTAAATAATTTACTGATATTATTATTTTTACCCCTGTTTATATCTGATATAATAAGACCACCTTTAATATTAAGTTCAGGTTATATAAGGCAGAATTCAGGCAGTTAGGTCAATGAAGGGTTGAGAAGGAAAAATGAAACAGCTTCTATATTTGCTCCTTGTCACAGCTCACCTCTGTCAATCATCTGGTTCTGGTCAAAATGGAGTGACACGTCCTAAATCAACAAAACAAGGAACGTATCCATTCTATCCTCTAAAACCTCTTAGAAGTTTTAACAAATCTGCTAAAATGAGTGACAGCAAGATTCCTAAATTGACTAAGCAAACTTATCCAATGTATCCTCTACGACCACTCCGAAACTTAAACAAATCCACCAAAATGAGTGACAAAGACATTAACTTTGCGATGGCAAAGCAAGGTACATATCCCATTTATCCTTTACAACCTCTTCGAAAATCTGCCCAAGTTAATGAGGGAGATACAAAGCAGGGAACCTATCCGTATTATCCACTTCCACCACTTAGGTCTGCGAAAATGAATCCTGCTGGTTTTGAAACACCTCCAATTTCACCATTTGAAATGTCACAGTTTTTTGAAAAAGACAAAGAAACTGTTCCTAGCATCCCACCATTGTCAACCCTGCAGACCTGGGAGATAGAAAAGGATGAATTTGACCTCCTGGGAAGAAGACAGGTAAACCATGAGAAGCCCCATGGAACAGATAGAGAAACTGTTCCTAGCATCCCACCCTTGTCAACTCTCCAGACCTGGGAGATAGAAAAGGATAAATTTGACCTCCTGGGAAGAAGACAGGTAAACCATGAGAAGCCCCAAGGAACAGATAGAGAAACTGTTCCTAGCATCCCACCCTTGTCAACCCAGCAGACCTGGGAGAAAGAAAAGGATGAATTTGACCTCCCGGGAAGAAGACAGGTAAACCAAGAGAAGCCCCATGGAACAGATAGAGAAACTGTTCCTAGCATCCCACCCATGTCAACCCTCCAAACCTGGGAGATAGAAGAGGACCTACAAGCAAATCAAGCAATGGACAGAAATCTTAAGACTGGAATAAGACCCGTTATCTATGATGATAGAGATCTTGCTAGACAAGATGTTATTGAACCTTCTGAAGAACAGACAGCTGAAGCGGAAGTGGAACCAGTACCTCCTCATGAACCAAGGTTGTACAGCAGGTATCTGGACCCGTCTCTAGCTTCCATGATGATAAAAGGGGTGGAAAAGGTTCCATCTGAACCAACATTCAACTTTGGAAGCTTTGTTCTAAACAGGTAAAACTGATTTTTTTTATTTATGAATATTTGTTTACTATTTTCTTTAGAATGAACCTGGGTCTGTTAGCAATCGGAACAGATGATGATGATGCAATTGTAATTTCTAATACCACTATTCACAATGATAACAGCTTGGAATACGAAAACAGCTTGGAATCTGAGAACAGCAATGACAGCCTTGAACGCAGAAGAAAGAAGCCACCAAAGAAGATTTGGAAGAACAGCAATGATTGTGGAGTAGGGGATAGAATTATTGGAGGAGATGTTGGTACTGCAGGAGAATTCCCTTGGCTTGTGGCACTCAAACTCAGGTATCATTTCAGATTTAATGTATCCTCGTAATATATTAATGAGTTTTCCTCTGTGGAAACATTTTTCTTTACCTATCATTAACCTATCAACTGTTTTGATAAAAGCATTTTATGACCATTTCTGAAAAAAAAACTTTTAGCCCTCACAGGTTTCATAAGATGTTTTCAAAGCTGTATGAGAAATAACAACATTTTATGAGATCTGCAAATTTAGCTATATTATAAGTATTATTTCACCATTTATTTTTGTTTACTATCCAGATAAAAAGAGAGACCATGCAAACTGCATATATTTTCATTTGTAAACAATTGTAATGCAGTGGTTGGCGATTTTTGGATGGTCAACCTAAGCAATAGTATTTTTTCTAAAATTGAACATTTACATTATTTTTAATACTTTAAAAAATCATGTCTAATTTTTAAGCTGGGGATATCAGTTTTGTGGAGGATCTCTGATACACCCTGAGTGGATTCTAACAGCAGCACATTGCGTCTCTTGGGGCAGAGATGTCCTAAGCATCAAAATTGCTTTGGGGGATTTTGATCTCAAGGTCATTTTCTTTATTTAAAAAGACATTATTTATCATGATACAAATGGAAAATTTTATTCCCACCATTTTTCTTAAAAACCCTGTCTTTTCAAATAAGTAAATTTTAGCTCTGTGATTCAAATAGTAACAAAGTTATAGACTATTTGTGTTTTTTGAAACACCGACTATCTATTTGACTGCCCCCTATCCCACCTATGCACATGCATATTTTTTTTCTTTTGCAAAACTTGTCCCAAATTCTAAAGTTGGATAATTTGAAGTTTACGCATTCTCTCTCAAACATTTTCGATTATCTGAATAAAACCTGGGAAGAGGGGGGTGGTAAACACCCCCCCCCCCCCACCCCGATCTAAATAGGTAATCCTACCTCATCTGAAACATTATTATAGAGTTCTACCGAAACAGCTAGCATCGAACGTGGAGTATCAAAAATCAAGATTCACATAAAGTACAGTGAAGTAACTACTGATTATGATATTGCTCTGATCAAGCTTGATAAACCTGTTGATATTGTTCCCAATCTCATCTCTACAATCTGCTTGCCTAATCCTAAAGAGGACTTTACTGGCGCTTCAGCAACAGTTGCAGGTTAAGTAACTCAACCTGAAAAATCATGCATAAGAAATATTGAGTTTTTTATTCAGGATGGGGTTATATCAAGACAGGAGGGCCAGGCAGTGATGTTATGAAACATGTTGACGTCGAGATTATACCAAGGTTAATCCTTTAATAATCATGATCTTTTATTTTATTAATGGTTATGATGAGGTTGATAAACATTAATAATAGAGAAAATGATGAGAATAATGATTTAAGTGATAATTCTTATGATAATTCATAATTATAACGTTGAAAAGATGGATTGTAATGATGATCATGATGACAATGTTTATAATGTTGATGATTGCTTAGAGCTGTATGATAGAAGTTGATCCTGATCTTTATATTACATTAATGTTAATGATGATGATTGATGACATTGATGATAATGATGATGTTGATCTTTATAACAATTTTGATAATGGTGACCACTATTTAGAGCTGAATGTCAGAAGAGCTATGGGCGGGATTCTATAACATCAAATATGATCTGTGCTGGGTATCCAGGAGGAAATAGAGATGCTTGTCAGGTTAGCATTTCATAAATACCAATTCATAAAACAAACCAAAGATGGGGATGTCGGATTTAAACTGTTTATTTTCATTTGTGGATTCTCTGTAAGTGACTTACGCATTTCTTGCTTTTAAGAAACAATAAAGAAATTTGAGCCGAGAAATTTTTTGAGAAAAAAACGACATTATCTTCTATATTTGTGTTCACATGAAAGTTTAAATGATATCGGTGTAAATCGGGCGTTGCTATCTTTGAATAAAGGGTCACAGAAAATCAATTACTAAGATCCTTTCAAGAAACAAATATCTATACTCCCATCTTTGAAACCTGATGTTGTTGACCTTAAATGTTTCAAACTATGCATTTTAATGGATCAAAAAGTTAAAGTTTAAAACATGTAAGGTTTACACCATACCACATCAATTAAAGTTTAAAATATCTGAGGTTTACACGATATAAAATTAAAGATATAGGGATTTAAAAAGTTTGAAGCAAGAAATAAATTTTGATTTTACGAGAAAATTTTAAATACAAAATTTTGCCAAAAGATATGATTATTTCTAGCTAAATATATTTGATTATCAGGGTGACAGTGGTGGCCCGCTATTCATATCTGGATCTGCAAGAACAGTACAGGTAATTATATTTTAAACTTGAACACTTGTGTGCATCCAGTACAGTACAGTACAGTACAGTACAGTAAAGTACAGTACAGTACAGTACAGAGCAGTACAGTACAATACAGTACAGTACGGTACAGTACAGTACAGTACAGTACAGTACAGTACAGTACAGTACAGTAAAGTACAGTACAGTGCAGTACAGTACAGTACAGTACAGTAAAGTACAGTACAGTTTAGTACAGTACAGTACAGTACAGTTTAGTACAGTACAGTACAGTACAGTACAGTACAGTACAGTACAGTACAGTACAGTACAGTTTAGTACAGTATAGTACAGTAAAGTAGAGTACAGTTTAGTACAGTACAGTACAGTACAGGTGTGTAAATTGGAATTGTATCTTGGGTTGGTTCTTGGTTTTTGACTCCCATCTTTTTCTAGGGGTATATTATACATTATTGTGTAGATTTAACATTCATTTTAGAGGTGTTTGGATTTAATAAATACTCTAGTGTGCATCCAGAGGGTTAATATTTGCGTAGATTTAACTCATTTAAAAATTCTAAAATGTATTTGTGTTGATTGGATTAGCATTCTTGAGGGGGGGGGGGAGATTTTTGTTCAGATTTTCTAAATAGTATTGGGTGTATTTTTGTAGATTGGAATAGTATCCTGGGGCCGGGGGTGTGGATTAGCTGAGTATCCTGGGATCTACACAAACATTGCTAATCTACTAGACTGGGTTGGTAGACACTCACAGGACTAGGCTACACATGTACACTGTACACCACAGAACTTTTACTGTACATGCGTTTGAGATGCGCTTAAATAACTATTGTACAAACATCTAAATTTAAATCAAGAAATGTCATAGAGAATAGAATATATAGAGAGGAATTTACTAGAAAAAAGTGTAAAACGGCCATTTTGTTGTACTGTTTCCATACTGCAGCCTTGCAGGTGTACTTCACATATTTATGCTATATAACCTTTTGGGCCCTGGAATATCATTTTATAGAAAATCTAGAATTATTGTTAAAAGAAAACCAAATTATGAAATAGGCTGGTTTCATAATTGACCAATGATCATTTCACATAGACTCTATGCCTTCTACTTTACAAACGATGATTTTCCGTTATAACTATAAATCAAATGATGTTTTTATTCACCTAATTCATTATAAAGTTTATTTAACAGTTTAAAAATTCGAAATTGAAATGGATAGTCTAGGGAACATACTGTATTAATGTACTCTACTGCATATAATTTGTGAACATTTACATGATTTGTACACTTTGAACTCCCTTTCAGGCTGAAAGGGACTGAAAAAATTCATACAGAGAATTCTTTTAATTCCTCTCTAAATATTCTATTCTCTATGAGAAATGTGCATGATGTTTATAATGTACAAAATGTAAATACGTGCACAAATTCTGTTTGCAAAAGTGAGTTTTCCCTAAGATTGTATCACAATCATAAATCACTTTACTTATACTTAAGACTTTCTGTTGTAACTTGTTCTAACGTATTGTCTGTTTTGTAATACCATCCTTCTCATCCTTTAAGTATTTTTATTAATAAACAATATAAAAAACAAGTTAATGTATTTTTAAATATCACTTGAACAGAAGTCGAAAATTTGGTGTGGATTATATTAATCTTAAACCCTTGATCTCGATATCCAATTAAATTAGAGGATCAGTGATTAATGTTTCATTTTATGTTATCCCTGTAGGATATAACCACCCTGGGAAGAGGGGGGTGGTAAACACCCCCCCCCAAGTGTAGAGTGTAGAGTGTAGAGTGTAGAGTGTAGAGTGTACAGTGTAGAGTGTAGAGTTTGGAGTGTAGAGTGTAGAGTGTACAGTGTAGAGTGTAGAGTGAGGAGTGAGAAAATTGTACGGTGTAGACACAGACATTAATTTTACAATACTTTTTTAGAGAAAAATGCACGTGTGTCTAATAATTACTACAATAGAAATGCAATAAAATTAATTCAATAAAGAGCAGTTTATATTATTTATTACGCTTATAAGAACTCTAATTAGAGTTAACGAGGTATAATTAACCAATAAAATGTGTCAGTGTATCTATGCTTATGTCAGTATATTTATAGAAAAGGGGTGTCCCGAAAAAAATCTGAATTTAAAAAAAAATTAAGATTTTAATCCATGTCATAAAATTACAAAAAGGTCGTAAAGCCTGTTTCGAGAATTAGTATTGTTTATCATTTTAAGACTATTAAATCTTTCAGGACACCCTGGTTTAGCACAGATGGTATACAGTACTCTGGTCAATTTTCACCTAGAGATGGTTAATAGGACAGTTCACGTCAATCATCATCAACTCATCCTAGATAGATAGATAGATAGATAGATAGATAGATAGATATATTGATAGATAGATAGATATATTGATAGATAGATAGATATATTGATAGATAGATAGATAAATAGATAGATATAAAGATATATAGAAAGATTGATTTTAATAGATAGATAGATAGATAGATAAAGAGATTGATATATTGATAGATATATAGATAGTTACTTAGATAGATAGATAGATAAATAGATAGATATATATATATATGTGATCATAAAAACATTGAATTAGAAAAGTGACTATTAGACTCAATTTATCCTTTTTGAAAGACCAGTAAACAAGAAACACAGCAGTTGTGCAGTGTTTACAGTTCCATTTCCCTTGATCAGAAGTATTGGTCTGAGGCTGTTATTTACAGGTTTGCAATTTTTTTTGAATATTTGAAATGACATGGTCAATTGTCATAGGTCAAGGACTTTTCAAACTATAGATTTTTCTTTGCATATTTTGAAATTTTTTTGCAAACATTTTTACTATATAACTGGATTTTGCAAAAAAAATCTATTTTTCCAAATTTGCAAATGTTTTTGCAGATACTAAAAGTAGATCATAAGTGCTTTCTAATGATGCATCATTTGCCATATTTGGACATCAAACATGGGGTTAAAATAACGTCGTCTTCATATTTCACAGTTTTATGGATCTCAGTGCATATCTTTGACGAGTTTATAATTATTAAAACTTACATTTAACTTAATTCTCTAAATGACTAGTTTTTTAATCATTTCCAGTGCAACACCTTAACCCAGATTAATGCTTTAGTTAACATGAATACAGAGCGTTGGTTAAGCCCGACCGAAATATTAACACGATGTTATTTCACAAAGTTTAAGATTGTTAACCCATGCTAACGAGCAAGGGGTAATTAATAATTTGTAATAGAAATTTTGACGTAAGAAATATTTTTGTATTTTTTAAAGCCATTTTTTGAGTAAAAAATGTGATTTAAATTACACCTGTTGTTAACGACTTTGATTGGACCCAACATTAACGACACACTTTCTGTGTATTTAGGTGCAATTAGCAGAGATTAGAAACAGGAAATATATCTTACATTATTTCTTTATTATATTCATCCTTTTCTCATCAACCTGCAGGATATTTAGTCAGTATGTCAGTCTGTCATTCTGTCAGTCTGTCAGTCTGTCAGTCTGTCAGTCTGTCAATCTGTCAGTCTGTCAGTCTGTCAGTCTGTCAGTCTGTCAGTCTGTCAGTCTGTCAAACCAAAAGATCAATTACAGAGCCATTAGTTTATATATTATTCTTGTATAACAAGTTTAATGGGGTTATTAATGGGTTAACGATGCCTCAGTTTAATGGAAAGATTGTTATATTTACTAAAGTAATTATATTAACTCAAATGTTAATAATTCTTTTTAATTCCTGCCTTACATCCACCTCTCCCCACCACACATTCTCCCAACATTCCTTTTTATTAAAAGAGCTAATTTATAATAGGTTGTCAATTGTTATCTGTTTGTATTTCAAAACTTCTACAATTAAAATTGAAATGAAAAAGTACATTATTTTAATATTTCTAAATTAAAAGCCCGTTTTTTTAAAGTAAGTTTATGCTTGAAAAATATCTGACATGACCCCAATGGAAGGGTTATGACCGGATGATATTGAAAACTTTTGCTCATAAAAAGTTTCGATTTTGATTTTTTTTAATCCATCAAAAAATTATAGCTAAACCTAAAATTTTTGCAAGAAAAGATGTTCGAAATTTTCCATACTATGATGATACTGCATGCATGATACAATTTTTGTGTATTTGTATTTTTTTTTTAAATCTTTTTGTCCGATAAATAATTTATTATTATTATAGTTATTAATTAAGTTTGAAAATCTTCAATTTGGGATCTGTTTTTTTTAAAGTTAATTGATAAATATTGCTAATTTGACGATCATTGGATTTTTAAAAAATCACTTGCAACTGTTGACTGCATTTTTACTGCGTAGGAAAGTAAAATTGCATTAAACAAATTCCTCCCCCCCCCCTACCCCTCTTACCACCATGTCATTAAACCATTACTTTGGTTCTAATTATCTAATTATTCACTAATCATTTACAATCTGACTTTTCTAGTTAACCCTAGCACACTAGAACACATGCTCCCGTTAACCCTAGCCCACCCTCCATACAAATGTTCCTATTATCCACTAAATAGATCATCTAAAGATAGAGCAAAACAAATTAAATGGAAGTATAATAAACATTCTATTATCAAAGTTAAAATGAAATACAAAATTAACAACATCTTTTTTTGGTTTAACGCAAAAATTAAAAATCTAAGTAAGTAAATTGCATAAATGCACATTTTGCATGTCATATACATTTGCATTGCAGTCTCTAAACATGTCAACACACACATTACCTAATTTTTAAAACAAGGCCACCCAGAGATACATAATGTAATAATAACCGTGAAAGTTCTTCAAGAAATTCAGATTTTCGTTGATTTTAAAAAGGCAGGTGAAGATGACATATTGACCTTTACCAATTACTTTAATTACCCTATAATTATATTGGTAGCCGGTCTTTTATCTTCCCCAATAATATTTGTAAATATATTTGCAGTACAATACAGTGTCTTTATATATATTACCAATGTTGAACCAATTACTTTAATTACCCTATAATTATATTGGTAGCCGGTCTTTTATCTTCCCCAATAATATTTGTAAATATATTTGCAGTACAATACAGTGTTTTTATATATATTACCAATGTTGAACCAATTTCACTTTATAACAAACCATAAAAAATTATTGGCTTGTCTGTTTGTGTGTATCCAAAAATCGTCAAATTGGCCAAACCAATTAGTCTCACATTTTCTGTGGTAATTCACATGGTCCAAGGAAGGTTTCCGTAAAAAATTAAGAATTTTAGATATTTTTGGAATTTCATTAAAAAACTTTTAGTGTCAAGAATAAATAGAAAACGTATTAAAAAGCAACATATATCTAAAAGCTAAGATTGCGACAAGAAAAAGAGGTGCAAAGCGCCCAAACATTCAGGTTTAGAATAAAAAGTAATCAAATGTAGACAGTTATATAGATGTTAGACACTCCCCCTTGTGTGCTTTACCATGTGTCAGTGGTTTTAAATACTAATTACTAGCAGTTTAAACTATTAAATAGTATAATAATTTGGTAATAATTTGGTAATAATTAAACATGTTTAACACATTTATATTCAAAACTAGACCTATATATAACTATATTTGGCAATTAGAGAAACATTAGTAGATTAAACATTGACCTAATCGCTCATTGGATCGCAACTTCGCACATTAAAATATAACGGTCAAATTTATGAATTTTCTATATTTCGAATAAAATATTTCTTAATATAAAATAATTTTCGTATTTTAATAAACAAAACTAAACACATGAAGCAGTGTAATTTTTAAGCTTTCCAAGAAAATTCTTAAAATCTTTAACATACGATGATTTGATATTTTCCTTTTTACAAAAAAATTAACAACTCACAAAAAACAGAAGCAGCGAAAGAAACAAAAATATCAAT